GGCATTCCTTGTATCTTTGTATCATTTAGTTGCATTACATTAGGATTGCATGCTAAAAGTTGCATTGTGCAGGCCATTCTTATTTCATCATGTTTGGGATAGGAGTTTGCCCAAACACGGGAAACGAGGAGCGTTTCATACTCCAAGTGATGAAACGTGCCTCGATTCCAGGTCGCCGACACTCTTGACTATCCATGATAGAGTTGTTGGCTTTAGATGCTTGTTTGTGCATTCATGTCACATTGAATCGTGTAATCTAACTCCTCGGCCATCATGCATCGAAATGTGTGATTGGTGGTCCGAGGATCGAGGGTTACACTCCCTAGAGCCTATGCTATGACGGGGAGAGTGGTCGAGCACACATTTGTTGAAAATACCTTGCCATGCCTCCCCATTGCTTTGTGTTGCAGAAAACCAGAATCCATGGGCAGAAAGTGGTCGGCCGACCAGGTTTTCTAGCAGGCCGACCACCTTTTTTTGGTCTCCACCACAAAGGGTGGTCGGCAGGTGGTCTCCAATGCCATTGGCTGGTCGGCAGCCCTCCCACAACTTCCCAGAGTAGAGTTTTAGCCTCTTGGAGCTTCTAGCAAGTTTCTGAAATCAATTGCACACAAAGGCGAGACGAGGCATCGCGATGGATTTTCCGACGAGGCGACTCGAGCATGCATGCATCCATTGTCATCCAAAACAGAGCCGAGGCATTCACATTCATTTAGTTTACATGCTTACTTAGCTAGTTTGTTAATTAGTTAATGTCGTATAATAATTAGCTGTAGTTCATTATTCATTCGGTTGTGTATTATTTATTCGGACCCTCCAAGGAGAGCAATGTTGTAATAAGTATGCGTGTGTGTGATGTATGTTTTCCAACCCCACGTCTTTCTCCCTTTTATTTACCTGCTTATGATGGTTAGTTTTAGGGCATGTTTTAATTAGCATTTATATGTTCGCATGTTTGCATCCATTCATCTGTCTTGCATGCACCAGGCTCGGCGCATCATGCTAACTGCATTGTATTTCAATTCCAAGTCGAATACATGTTTTCTATTGCATTTCACATGCCATGGTTAGAATAGCCGAGCCTATCCTAGTTGCATTTTTGCATGTATTGCATTAGCCATCTTAACATGAACTAGGATCATGCATTGATTACTAACTAGTTTCTGTTTTGGCATGGAGTACTCGGTAAGTATTTATGCTTTAGCATCCTTGCATGTGTGTGACTGACTGCCATGATAGCATGCTTACCATGAGGCTATGTGCTTATGTGATATACCTGCCTGAATGTCTGTGGGTGAAGGTTGGGTTGCTTGAATTGGAATGATTCGTCGAAACCCGTGTTTTAGCCTACTTGCGAGTAGTAAACTTCAATCCATTTTCAAAACAAACGGATATGCGATGTTTTGTTCCAACTTAGGCAATCTAGTCTATACTTGTATGTTGTGTGCATCGCATAGTAATTCTAGGCTAATAACTGGAATAAGAGCACATAATGTTTTCAAAACTCGATATCATGGTTAGTAGAGGCCGATCTTCGATCGGGCGAGCGGGGGTGCTCATGGCATGACCATCCCCAATCGTACCCAAGTTCCCGAGCCGAGGCAACTTTGGTGATGACGGACACGTGGCCTTAGGCATGAGTCAGGGTTTCCTAAATTCTCCCAAAATAAAATATTTAGGTGCCGACTCTGCATCTGGCAAAGCAGTCCATGTTTGGCACTTCTTTCTAAAAATCTATTTTCCAAAACGATTTGCCGAACTTGGACTCTTTGGTGATTTATCAATCTCACATTGCACTTTGCGAGATCAGATTAAGAATCGTGACATTCGAGTCCGAACTGTAGTGAGCCCAAATGAACAAAACGGGATTCCCTCCCGGGACGTTCGGGGACGTCTACACCAAGTACCTCATCGTTCATTTGGTTAGGCTTTTCCTTTTTATTCCAATGTACAGTACCATTGATTTAGGGACATCAAAGGGAGCATAGTTATGGACTAACAAGGGCATGACTAAATCTAACCTTTATGCACCTGTTGATGATAACCTTTATGCTAAGTTTACGGCGCTTTCCATGCCAACTCCCAACGTACGCGTGCTAATTACGTCCCGCATGTCCCCACAGGTCCTATTTGACATGAAGAAGCTACCCGTGCCATCTCTACAGTGGTTGAGGGGCTGCTTTCAATTTTCGGCCCTCAAAGGCCTTTTTCGGCTAATTTGACGGCGTTTTCATAAGACAACAAATAACCTAGATACTCTAATATTAACTGAACTAACATATTTTTCCAATATGACAATAATGAAGCTCGTAATTTTCCAACAGATTCAACATGGGCGATAGGGAGAAAAATACCCAGAATTATGTTGATTACAACCCTATAGAAATCAGATTATGCCATCAAGTGATTACAACCCTATGGAAATCAGATTACGCCAAAGGGAACTAACTTAATATTTCATTGAAATCGAGTGGTTACCTTATGGAAATCAGATTACAGTCTGTCTGCTACAAAGTCTACTCACATTACGCCTCAAAACCTATTCGAAGCACATAACAAAAAAAATTTGCATAGCAACTTTAGAAACCAATTCTATGCCAATATGATCCATATTTTTCTAGAACTTGAATTAGCTTATCAAAAAAATTATGTTTACCGAATAGTAGGATGTGTGTTAGGTAGCCGACAGCCAACACATAAAAAAAAGCCGCTCGGATCCCTTATGAAAATGAATTGCCAATTGTATAAGGAGAATCTCAAGGGAAGTGCTTGGAGAGGCGAAAGGAACAGGACCCAGCTCTAGGGAAACTTGGTGGTGGAGGGAAGAGGTTCAAGCGGTAGTTAAGGCAAAAAAAGAGTGCTTTAAAAAGTGGCAGAAGGATAGAACTAAGAAAAACCTTAAGAGCTATAGATTGGCTAATAAGGAGGTTAAGAAAGTAGTGAGAGAGAATAAGTTGAAAGCTTATGATGACCTATACACTAGACTAGATAGTAAGGAGGGAGAGAAGATGGTATACAAACTTGCTAAGATACGGAGAGGAAAACAAGAGATTTTAATCAAGTAAAGTGCATCAAGAGTGAGAATTCTAAGGTATTGGTAAAGGATGATGAGATTAAGGAAAGATGGAAGAATTATTTTGAGAAACTATTAAATGAGGAACATGGAAGTACGACAATAGGGAAAGAAATAATCAGTAATACGATAAACCAAGACTATAGGTTCTATCGCAGGATTAGGAACTTTGAAGTGGAGATTGCACTTAAGAAGATGAAATCAAATAAGGCTTTAGGACCCGATGATATCCCTATTGAAGCTTGGAAGTGTTTGGGTAAAAAAGGAGTTGCTTGGTTGACTAGGTTGTTTAGCAAGATTTTGTTGACTAGGAACATGTCAGATGAGTGTAGGAAGAGTATTTTAGTGCCAATCTATAAGAATAAAGGTGATGTCCAGAATTGTAACAACTATAGAGGAGTCAAGCTAATGTGTCATATAATGAAAGTGTGGGAGAGGGTGATGGAACGCTGATTGCGAGACATAAAAGAGGTGTCAGAAAATCAATTTGGGTTTATGCCTGGTAGGTCAACAATGGAAGCGATCTATCTTTTGAGGAGAGTAATAGAAAAGTATAAAGAAAAGAAAAGAGACATTCATATGGTGTTTATCGACCTTGAGAAAGCATATGACAGAGTGCCTCGAGATATAATATGGTGGGTGTTAGAGAAGAAAGGGGTGACAAAAGGCTACATTGACGTGATTAGGGACATGTATGAAGGGGTGGTGACCACTATTAGATCGCCAGCTGGAGAGACAAATGAATTTCCTATCACTGTAGGGTTACACCAAGGATCTACCTTAAGTCCTTATCTTTTTGCTTTAGTTATGGACGAGTTGAAGATAAATATTTAGGATGACGTGCCATGGTGTATGCTTTTTGCAGATGATATTGTGTTAGTGGATGAGACTAGAGAAGGAGTTAACACAAAGTTGGAGATTTAGAGAAAAGCTCTTGAATCTAAAGGATTCCGGATATGCAGAACTAAGACAGAGTACATGGAGTATAAATTTAGTAACAGTAACAATGAAAGCAGAAGAGAAGTGAAGATTGAGAACCAAGAACTGCCTAAGAGTGAACATTTTCATTATTTAGGGTCGATTATCACAACAGCGGGAGAGATTGATGCAGATGTGGCCCATGGGATTAAGGCGGGATGGTGTAAGTGGAGAATTGCGTCTGGGGTATTGTGCAATAAACGAATACCCACTAGACTAAAAGGTAAGTTTTATAGAACGGCTATTAGATAAGCTATGTTGTATGGGATGGAGTGTTGGGCAACCAAGAAACAACATGTAGATAAGATGAGTGTGGCTGAGATGAGGATGCTAAGGTGGATGTGTGGTAAGACTAGACAAGACAGGATTAGGAATGAGTGTATTCGGGAATGGGTAAGAGTAGCATCGATAGAAGATAAGTTGAGAGAGAATTGTTTGAGATGGTTCGGTCATATTCAATGGAGACCAACAGAGGCAGTAGTGAAGAGATGCGATGCTATAACGGTAGATGGAAGTGTTAGGGGACGGGGTAGGCCTAGATTAACGTTGACAAGCATTATAAATAGAGATATGAATCTACTTAATTTGACTAATGAAATGGCCTTTGATAGGGCCGCGTAGAAAAAGAGGATTCATGTAGCCGACCCCATTTGATGGGACTTAAGGCTTGGTTTGGTTTGGTTTGGTTGGGAATAGTAGGATGACCATCTGAACCCTGCAAGAGGGTTGTGAGCCGTGACACCACGTCGTTCAAATGATTGAGTTGTACTTGTTGTGCCTCCTGTGCTTTTTTTTATTTCTTCAATTTGTTTCATCATCTTTTTCCCTCATAATTTCCTCTCTATCTCTTTGGCGCTCATCTTTCTCCTTGACCAACTCCTCGTGATCTCTTTGGCGCTCCTCTTTCTCCTTCAGCAACTCCTCGTGACCTCTTTGGCGCTCCTCTTTCTCCTTCAGCAACTCCTCGTGATCTCTTTGACGCTCCTCATGAAGAACCTCCAATTCCGCTCTCATTGACTCCATATGTTTATCACGTGCTCGTGCCGCACTGGAAGCTGTTGAAGAGGGTTGTGGGCCTATCCCACATCCACGCAAGTAATTTTTTTTTTGCCCCGAGCACTTGCCTTGATAGTTCTTCGTGGGTCAATGGCAACCCCACATCGGTGGCTACAACTTGTAGATTCACCATATCATCCTGTCATGGCAAAAAAACAATAAAGTCAAGATGGTTTAAAGAATTGAAAACAACTTTACTAATTGATATGCAACAAAACTGGTTTCAACATTCAATACTCACATGTAGCACACCACATTTGGGGTCAATCCAGTCCCCCGTCTTCTTAGACTTGTGTGATTTCTTATAAAATTTAGGGAAATCTATTTCTCCATCCTCATTTGCCTATTATGTTTGAAAAATTTCCATTAATGAAGTAGTACATAGTAATATTCAAAATGAAGAAGAATCAATCATCCATTATATTACTAAACAAATAACGACTTCTCACCATAAGCGACATTGCTATAGGAAATGATCGCGATCCACTTGTATGATTGTAGGGGAGCATACCCCTATTTGCTTTACCAGCTTTAGAGTGTTTCTAACAAGAAAAAAAAAATTACAAATAAAAATAATTAGTAAAGAATTTTTATTCATATTCACATCAATGAATTTGAAGAATGGGGTTTCTAATTCATTTCTTACCAAGTGAGATTCGTCTTTCCAAGCAACATCAATAAGATATTTCCAGTTGTCCAAGCTCACTCCACTAGGCGGATGACTATAGGGGTCATCAACACCCTTTTCCTCAAGTTCAAGGAACTCTTGCTTTAGATTGTACCTTCAATCCTTGTATAGCAAATATGCCTTTCTATTGAGGATTTGTTGAGCTTGTTCATCATTATCAAAATCATCCCCGATAACAAACTTGTCCTACAAACATAATAAGACAATTAGTACATCAATTAATTTAAGCAATTACAAATAACATAATAACGACATTATGGGAAGATGAATCTCATACTAGCACCGCTTGGATGACCGCATCTTTGGTACTTTCATTGATTTTTCTCCATGACTTCACGCTCTGAAGAGGGCACAACCATCTAATTTGCAATCCCAACTCATTCGTCGCTGGGGTTGCATTCCCTCATGTGATTGCGTTCAACACCCGATTGACATACACATGTAATTTCTCTCCTTTTTTCCTGGCTATTCTTTTTTGCACTCCTGTGCTTAATGTACATCCTCGTACACGAGTTGACCTTTTTCACCCTGCTACAAAAGGGGAAGCAAGTCACAAATTTAATGAAAGATGTTCGAGTATTGGTTACTGCTTCAATTTAAAAAAAAAAGAAAAAAAGAAACACATATAAGCATTGTACCAGCGAAGACCACAAGTGACTATCAAACTAATACCATTAATTACAAGTGTACAGCCCTTGGTTTCTTTTAAGTTTAGAACTCAACTAAATCAATGAACTTTATGTACAACAAAATTTACATATTTTAATTTTAAATATGTAAAACACAATAAAGCTATAATATCAGGATTTGTTTTCCTGACCCTGCTTTAGTTTATTGTGGTTAATTGAATTGATTGAATTTGAAGTGGTAGATTGAAATTTCGATTGTACTTCTAGTTTTTAATTGACTGCTTGATCGTTCTTTCTTATGCAATAGATAGTCAATCCAGGCTTCTCCTCAAATTAGATTTTACTTTCGTAGTGCACCCTGTTTTATGTATGTATTTTATGGATGATATGTATTATGTTCTTTATGGTTTACTTGTGGACTAAATTTGTCATCTCTAACACCTGTAGGTTAAAAATCTCTTAGCAGTTGACCCAGAAGATGGAGTTCCTCTCAGAAAAATGTTATTAAGAAAAATTCCTCGGTAATAATGAATCTCATTTCTCATGCATCTTTTATCATGTGAGAAAATTCACAGTTTCTTTTGACTCTTTTGAGTTAATAGGATATCTCTCGCCACTGTTAATTTTGATGTAATATGATATATATGGCCTTTTAGAGTGCATGGTGCAAAGAAAGAGTATTAATCCGTCCAACTAGTTCAGATAGCATTATTTTGTCAGTTGAGATAAAACTTAGTTGTATCAGCCTTAAAGGAGTCAATTGTGCCTTGACATGTCTTAAGTTGTGGGCTTTTAGCATGAGGTGTGTCGTGAGTTCCTGTAATTTGGAAGAGTGATGTCCTTAGGATGGTTAGCATCTTGAATCAATTATTTGAGAAAGTGTAAAAGTAATACTAGTCATCCCTAGTAAAAGTAGTTGAATAATTAGGCAATTCAAAACTTCTTACTTATATTAGTTGAGGATTAAGAAGCACGGACACAGACTTGGACATGTAACACAATACGGATATGCGGACTTGCAAATTTTTAAAAAATGCAGGACACAACACGCTGGAGACACATGCAAAGCATATAATTTTTCATATTTATTGTATGCCATATTTTTTAATGGGACTTAAGGTTTGGTTTCGTTTATTGTATGTCATATTTTTAATATTATATATTTATTTTATATCAAATATTTTATGTCATCAAATTCATCAACCTTGTGTATGCTATTCTGGTAAAAAAAATTTATTTTATATTTTTTTAAATATGACACACTGTGTTCCCAACTAAGGCATTCACATTGACTAACAAGATTAACAAACAGATTAACCTACAGATTAACAAAGGCATTCCTTACCAATCAGATTAACATGGCATTCACATTTTCTTTGTTTTTCTTTCTGTTTATGGGGTTTTCATTGCCTTAAAGACCTGACATATGCACCGCAAAAAGAAGGAAATTTTTTTTTTGTAAACAACTAAGTTCAATGCTCTTAACCACGCCACCTGGCTGCATCTCCTCCACCACCGTTTGTGTATCATCTGGTGACCGTGTCTCATCAGATAACGTCAACGAGGTGCCAATAACTGTTGGACATGCTTCGGAGCCTGATAATACGTTGCCACTTGTTGCTGTCTTCCGCCGCTCCGTCTTGATTCCAGGAACCATGGTACCTACATAAAAAAATAACAAAATGACATAAGTAATAAACGTCACATACATCATTTACATACATTTACATAAATCTCACATATGTCATTTACATACATATACATAAAGCTCACATACATAAATGCCCAAACATCATTGGATGTTTAAATGTCATTATTTCTTCGACAGCCAATCACAGTTGGACTCTTGCATTAAGCAACCAGTAGATTAACCATGAATACAAACATCCCAACTCAGATTAAGCAACCAACAGATTGACAAGATTAACCAGCAGATTAACAAACTTATCTGAGTCAGCAGCCAGAGACAAAGCAAAAAAACTTATCAAGATTAATGTCCAAAACTTATCAAGATTAACCAGCAAAAAAACAACAGCAAACTCTCCAAGTCAGCAACCAGAGACAACATATGTGTAAATCTGCCACAGATTGTATGAATTTGCTTCACTATTAATTCACTATGAACTCACTTCACTATGAATTCACTATGAATTAGCATTGCTTTTTGATGTTTACCGAAATAGTAATAACAGATCGGGATGTTTTGCCTATTTGTCAATTGCATATAGTTGGCTAATTTCAGTAGTAACTCAGCATGTATTCATACGCTAATGTGACATACATGAACAATTCTATGCGAAGTCATCTTACAGGGAGACATATAATTGTGACCAAATTTAAAGAGAAATTAAATTTCATATTCAATATAGATAGGACGTTAAGAGATCTCAGAACATACATGTTGTAAACATAAATTTTATGAAAATTAGATGGGTAAAACAAAAGTAATGAAATTTCAAAGTTTTGAAGCATTGAAAAAAATGTGAACATAAATCTTCTAATTTGTATTGTTCTATACTAAAAAAGTGTGTGAACAAATTTATTTTCATACTACAAAATATTTAATTTCATTACATGGATTGATTGTTCCTTCTAAGTAGTATTCCAAATATATACCCATAATATGATTCTTCACTTCTATATTAATTAATAAGGGCATTTGGTAGTCTTGGTGCAAGATTAATTTATATTTAACAAACATTATACTAAATTCTATATATTTGTTCCAATCAGTAGAAAAATCCTTTTAAAATTCAAGAAAAATATTACATGAAACTTTTCTATTAACTTAAAATAGTTAACAAGTCAACAAAATCTAATATTCAATTACTAAGGCAACAAAAAGAAGCATATTCTATTACCTTAAAATAGTTAACAAGTCAACAAAATCTAATATTCTATTAACTTAAAATAGTTAACAAGTTAGCAAAATCTAATATTCTATTAACTTAAAATAGTTAACAAGTCAACAAAATATTACATGAAACATTTCTATTAACTGAAACTAGTAGGATTATGGTTTGTTGGCTACACCAGATTATCCTCTATTGTTTCTATGGAGTTGCAAAGGTTTGCACTAAATTGTACAATGTGAGAGTATTTAGGCTATTGATTAATCACATTTTGTAATCCTAAATTCTTATGTTTTGGCCACAGATTTCTCAACTGAGGCTAACTGTTAAAGATATTATTTTGGACTATAGAAAGCAACCACAGTGTAAACCTGGCATTTTTCGTAGTGTGTTTGTTGCTTGGTCATCAGCACCCCGTCATTAATGTTTGTGTTCATTGATGGGTCATCAGCAATGTCTTTCCATAGGTTTAGTGCATGACATTATATTGTTAACCCATGCTGAGGGGAGAAGAAAATGTTTTGTTAACTGATAATCCTGGGGACACAACAACAATTTGTATTTTGAATTTTAGTAAGAAGACCCTCGTAAGCAAATGATTCATGGCACATGAAGTATATCTTGAATACATTTATGTGAGGGCATTATTGGGTAATAAACAAGATGCGGTTTGGGATGTGTGGTACTCTCACAGGATCCTAAGGCAAATTGTTTGTGGTTCTCTCTCAAACTATTTTTGCCTACATTATTAAAGGCATTACAGTATGCAACTCTGGGCTATTCCCTCCTAATTTGGGCCATTCACTTAATCTGAATTTTGATGAAGTTGATGTTGGGTTGGTTAGTGACTCTTTGGTGGCCAACAACCTCTGCCTTCAGAATGGAAGTTATCATCATCAGGTGCACCTGTCGAATCTGAGCGACTAGACTCCTAGTTTTTTTTTTAATGGTTGCCACTACTTTGAATGTAAACCTTAGTTATATCCTTTGTTTAGTTTTCTTGTTATTTTACTTTTATTTTTCCATATACTACTACTAAATCCATAGTGGATGAGATGGGATTTTTCCATATACTACTATAAGGAATTAGAATGAATTTTTTTCACAAGAAAAGTTACCTTAAATCTCCAAAAAGCACAACAGAGGGAACTGGATTGTCACTTTAAGCTCCTTAGCTTACTTAGACTGTCACTTTAAGCACAGCAGAAGGCTTTCTCCTCTCACTAACACACAAAACAAGCTAAAACATTAATTAGATTTCTAGTATTATAGAATACCAATCACATAAATAGAGGGCTCCAACAAATGAAATATTGTTCCATTGATTACAAAAATTTCTCAATTATCCGAATTCCATAAAAGTAGCTTTCTTCTTTGAACCAAAAATTAAAACAAAAATAAAAATAAAAACATTTCACATAATTGTGGAATTTACATGATGAGTTCTATATACATTGCTTGAGTTAAAGATACCAATTGTTAAGGATTTTGTATCATATCCCATGTTTGAAATGGTTTTGGATTAGGAGGGGATAGTACAATCCTATATTATTCTATCACATGTTTGTTTGAAATTATTAGACATTTACTACATGGTGTAAAACATAGATAGGGTCTTTTAAATCTTTGTACATGTTAGTCCACACTCACTAGGAATCAATATATGAACTATATCAGAATCGGACTATCAATCTGGAACTCAAGTTCCCATCAAACAAACATATTACAAAGTATAGGGAAACAGTAAACACAACAATGATCATCACAGCATTCAATTCCAAAAAGAAAAAAGAAAAAAGAAAAAAAAAACTATCTTAAAAACTAGAGGATGGATACTGGCAGAAAGAGAGAAGGATAGTATTTTTCCAAGCTTACTCAAAAATTTAAATTTTTTGTTGTATGAGATGCAGGGGTGGAGGGAGAGGGGGTCAGAGGTGTCTCAGCCCCTCCAAACTTTTGAGAATCCCACTTTTATGTGAGCCCAAACCTGAAAAAAAAAATGTGTTCTCCATGTCAAAAAATTTTGGTATTTCATGATGAAGAAGGTTGTTTCAGAGAATTTGATTCCTTGGTTTTGCTTGATTTCAGATACTTAAGGGTCCTCTCTTTCTCTCTCTCTCTCTCTCCTCATTTTCTTTTCTGGGCTCAAGGATCCTTCATAGTTCAAGTAATTCCTCTATCTCTTGCACAAGTGCCATTAATAGAGGCTTGGGCTGGACACTGGACACTGGACACTTTAGAATAATAATTGTACTCCATCATTTGACTGTATCATGAAAGAAATGAAGAATTTTTTTTCTCAAAGTAAAACCAAAAGTGGGGAAAAAGTAAATAAAAAATCATCAATAAAGCTGGTAAATGAGACAAAGTAAACAATAAACTGTCTAATAGCACAATTTCATGTGTTAAATGCAACTCAAAATGGAGCAAAAAAACTAACTTTTAATGATCTGTTGATCTTTAAACCAACTTCAGGAGGTAGATACGAGTATACATGCTTTGTTTTCCGCCTCACTTTCAACTTTATGTCTAAATTGTCTACTTCATCATCTTCCTTTACTTTAAATGGAGAACTAAAAAAGCATACACATATAAATGAGCTTTCAATAGACAGACATTAAAAGTAGATATATATTGAGCGAAAAGACTATATAAAACTTCCATATATATTGAGCAAAAAGCCTACATAAGAAGATAGAATACCTAGTTGCTTAGTTGCCTTCCCCCCCCCCTTGTTGCTTGATTGATTCATTGTAGCAATGATTCAACTTAAAAACGATAAGAAATAAAATATTCAAGAAGGTATAATATAGGCTCTGACAGCCACAATACATAGTGTTGGAAAATTGAAATGAAAGTGAGAATCAATAAGAAAATAATTACATAGAACGGGCTTTCTCCCATGGATGTTCATCAATTGACTCTTCCCATATGACACAATCTCCCGAGCATTGATCGCAAGTCTTTGTACCCTATTAGAATTGGGGAACCAAAATTAAGTGCAGGGCCAAACAAATAAAAAGCATATACACAAAGAGCAATGTGTTAGTACTACCAAGATATTACCAACATAGTACAACCCACACACTATTCAATGCAAATCTAAATCTAGTCATAATACTTGAAGATGATATTAGGAAATAGGGGATGTGAAAATATTTTGGTGGAACCCAATGAAATCTTATTTGGGGTTAGACTTGTAGGAAAAATATTGTATATGCTACACTTTTGACTCTCTAGACATACTTATAATGCCAAGAATTGCAGAATGTGCATATATAGCTTTATTTGGTTTTTAACTAAAAAGAGAAGCTAGTATTGATTGGACCGACTAATCTGAGGGAATCAGAAATCGAGCAACAGAAATCCAAAATCGAGAATCATCATAGCATTCAATTTCCCAACAACAAACAGAGGCACATTTGGTCATATAGCTTAACAATCCAAAATCGAGAATCAGAAATCCACAATCCGAAATTTCAACCACCCATTCACGAAATCAGTAAAAGCCTTAAAAATGTTGATTACGAAATCGACAAAAAATAAAAGAAAACAAACATTTCAAAACCCTACAGAACTCATGAGCCACGAGGATGGAGAGGGAGAGAGATACAAACAGACAGACACAGATCGACAGAGAGTGAGAGAGATGAGAGAGAAATACCTGTAATCAGTGGTGGGGCCGATTTGCAGTGGTCGTGGTGGCGAGCGCCGGTGGCCAGCGATGGTGATGATTGACGGTGGCCAGCGGCGCAGAGCTTCGGTATCGAGTGCTCTGTATGGTGTGTGTGAAACAGAAGAAAAATAATTCTTTGTTAAATATAGGCGCCAATATTAATGAGTTTCCCTCTAAAAAAATTTGGAAGCTTTAGCGTCTAAATCATTATTTGTCGCCAAATATGGTTAACAGCGACTAAAATTGGTCGCCAAAAGAACCATATTTTGGCTACTAAATTGAAATGGTCGTCGGCAATATTTAATATACAACGACTAATTTAGTTGTGGTCACTAAAAATTCATCAAAAATAAGTTTTTTGTCGCAAAATGTTATCATACGGCGACTAAATTAAATTTTAGTAGCGTAAATTGGTTGAAAGCAGCGACTAAAAACAATTTGGTCGCCAATAACACTATATGGTGACTAAAAGATTTTGGTAGGTAAAAATATGAAATGAATGCCGACTAAAATTGAATTTTGGTCGCCCAACACCCTGTTTTTGGCGACTAAAATTGCTTTGGTCGCCAATTTTAGTCGCCAAATGTGCTGTTTGTTGTAGTGCCTACAAATTGTAATGGGCAACAAAGGGGTGGCCTAACAGTGGTTGTGTGGTGATGGTGAGGAGGGTAGTGAAGGATGAGTGTGGCGGTAGGATGGTGGTCGGCATTGAGGGTGGCTGCTAGAATTGCATTGGAATAGAAAATTGGATAGGGGAGAAGGAAAGAGAGAAGAAAAGAAATTGTATTTTTGTTTTTTAATTAAAAATTCCATGTCTCTGCAATTTATTTTGAAAATTGCATTTCTATTGCAATTTGAAAAAGCACTCCTATAAAATGCAATAAATTTTATAAGATCGCATTTTAGTGCAATTTTCTCAAAATATTATGCAATTTAAAATTTAAAGAAGGCCAGTGTAATTTTTGTCAAAATTATATGGTGCATTCTAACTTCTTCAAATCACTAGAGGAGTTAGTAAAAATTATTTTTTAAAAAATTATATTGATAGTCCCTATATTCTAGTCTTTATGTTATTTTGGTCTCTGTAATTTGAATTCACTTGATTTTGATATTTAATTACAATTTTTATGAAAAATTAGCACACGAACGGCATATGTCATGCTTTTAAAGAAAAAATTGTAAACTCGATCAACTTAGTAACTTAACTCAACCAACTCAGTGATTATTTTTTGTCAAAATCCTAAAAGTATTATCAATTTGGTCAAATTAACTCAAATCTAAAATTAAATGTCAAAATCAAATCAATTAAAGGGCAACATGTAGACCATTATAATTTATCCTTTATTTTTTATTTGTTAGTGGATAAGAAATTATTTATAAATATTTGAAAATTATACCAAACTAAATAATGAAGTATGAAAAAAGTTCGACAACACATCCACAACCTGTCAAAAACATATATTGGGGAGAATTCAGAAAATAAAAAAATTGTGTGAATATAATAGTACTGTTTGACTTTTATATATTGGAATGGAAACCATTATTTTTTTAAACGATTTTCCAAAGATTTGAATGGAGGAGTTGATCAAAAATTTTTTGCTGAATCACAATTGTTGTAGTAAGCACGACGGGGTTACCAAGTTGTTCACGTTTTCAGCTTAAAATTAGAGTGATACTACACACTCACACATTAGACTCATAAATTCACACACAATGATATGGCAAGAAAATTAAACCCTCACTCGTTAGGTGTATAATCAATTAAAAGTTGACGTCTATTATAACATATCATTGTGAATAGAAGTGTGAGAATTTTTTTGGGGATCTCAAATATTTTCTATTAAATTATTATGTAATTTTGACACCCAAAAAACTTTGCCAAGTCAATGGCCTCTAATTGGGCATGGCTTCTGTCCAGTCTTTAATCGGATTGGATCGTGTTGTTGCGTTCATGGGAGTCCACCACGGGTCCCGTTTTGATAATCTGAACCGTTCAATGTGTAGAACTCATAGAATACTATAAGCCTGCATAAAATCACATTAATCGGATATCGATAGCTATGTGATCAAATCAGTTTTGTATAAAAAAAATGGACAGTGAATAAATTAACGGTTGACAAAAATATGTTTGATCGCATAGCTATCGATATCCGATCAACGTGATTTTTTGCAAGCATATAGTACTCGACGAGTTCTACACAAACGGTTCAGATTCTCAAAACGGGACCTATGGTGGGCCTCCACGGACCCAACTACACGGTCTAGTCCGATTAAGGAATTGACAGAAGCCATTCCCCCCCTAATTAATATAGATGTTTAATATGCCTTCTTTTATCCCTTCTTTATCTCTACGTAAATTATCAATATGTTTGACCTACTATGTAACTGTATGTCTACTTAAAATAATAAAATCTATAATTTCAAGTATAATATTATTATACTTTTCATTGTGAGAGTGACAAATTTAAACTAATCAAATTTTGTACTTTGTTAATTTGCTCATTTCTTAATTGATAGGCCAATAACGAAGAGGCAACAAGTTGTTTCGTTTTATTATTGTTAATTACATCAGTTGTAGCCTGCTTCGAGAAGTCTTCAACTAAGACTGCTGATGATAAATTTTTATTGAGAACATAATATCATATTATAATAAAACTTTATAATACACTCTAAAAACGTATTTGATGATTTTTTATCACCTCATCCTTGCATCTCCCGCTACGCCTTGTGCAGTTTGCCATGCCCTAATAAAAAAGCAGAACTGGAGTGGGGCAAGTTGTCATTCCCCGCCTCCACTCATGGTTCAATTATATTCTTGTTTAATATTTTGTATATATATATATATATATAACTTATATATAATTTAATTTTCTTAAATATAGTTAGAGTAAAATGTTAAGAAATTTTTATATACTCATTTTCATTTCTTTATATATTATTAGTAATAAATTATATTATATTATCTTACACTTTTACTAGTCTTACCATTCCTAAAGTTATATGGCCCCGTTTGGTGTAGCTGTTAAAACAGTTTATAGATTATAACTTAACAGATTATAGATTATGACTTTAATCAGAAGTTGTTAATCTGTTTGGTGTAGCTGTTGGATTATAGATTTAAGTTGTTGAGTAGTGTTTGTTAAATAAGCTGTGAAATAGCTTTTTCAATTAATTTTTATTTTTTGTTTGTCTACATTTCTCATAAAAAATAATAATAATAATCTATAGTCCATTTGAGTCTTTTTCTATTTTTAAAAAAATAAAAAAATAAAAAAATTTAAGAATATAACCATAAATTAACATATCACAGCAGAAGCTGATAATCAGAAGCAAGGGGTGAGCAGCTTCTCAGAATCAACTTTTTTGAGTTAAAATAAGCTGTTAGAATCAGAAGCTGTTTGAAATAAGTTTAACCAAACAGTCCAAAATAACTTTTTCAAAGCTAAATGTCATAAGTTGGCTCTGAAAAGCTGAAACAAACACCCCCAATGACTTGTCTCCATTCCCTCAATAGGATTTGGGGCGGTACTGTTGAATATAGAAATTATAGAATTTTTTTATTTTTAGTATTATATATAATCTGTGATTGTGTCAATCACTGATTTAGTATTATTTCCTTATTTATATCGTTTCCTAAATTGCATCATGAATCTATTACATATACATGGCCTTTACCTCATTCATGGGTATGCCAAACAATATAAATAAGGATACAATACTAAATCAGTGATTGATACAATCACAGACTATATACATAATAATAAAATTAAAAAGATTTTATATACTCTAATTTCTATATTCAACACTCTCATTCAAGCTGGTGTGAAGATATTCAACAATCGCAGCTTGCCAATAGATAATTAAAAGAAACTGGACAAAACTCAACGGCTAGTCCAAATAAATGTTACTGAATAAATCCGGTAGTCCACTAAATAAAAAAAGGCAAAAAAGGGCCAAAAAGTGCTTAATATATCAGTACCACACCCCAAAAAGGGAAAAAAACAGAAATTGAACTGCCCTAGAAGAGCTCTTGAAGCATCTATGGCTAGGAACACCCTAGTCGGCAGCCAACAAGACCCTGGTTGGCATCAGATGCCGGAACTAATATCGAGAGATAGTTTATGGTCGTATTGGACTGTTGTAAAAACTGGTTAGAACTAATGTTAGGACAGTTTAAAATCATGCTAGATCGTTATAGGAACTGACTGTCGGAAAAATTTACGGGGTTATATCGGACCATTGTAGGAACTAACCAGAATTAATATTCGGACAGTTTAAGGGGGCATATCGGATCGTTGTAGAGACTAACCAGAATCAATGTCGAGACAGTTTAAAGGGATCATGCCGGACCGATGTAGAGAATTAGATGTTGAACCAGCAACCGTAACACACACATAACTTATGACATGGTGCTGAACGATGATGGAAACAGATGACTGAGTGTGCCAAGGGATAACTTATTAGAAGGTGCACCGGAGGGGGTTAGGTAGTGCGCCAAGGGGACAACTTAGGTTGTGCGCCAGATAGAGCAGTTTAGGCGATTCACATAGTATATTACCATGCTCAAACGGGTTTCAAGATAACCTATTTGAGGTTGAAATAAAGGGGAAGACAAAGTAGAACAAAAGCACATAAAAAAATAGATTGCGAGTAAAAGAAAATATAATAGAGATATTTGAGATAGGAATAAACTAATGGATAGAGTAAGAGATCACTACGAAGTGATACTAAAAGAAAATACGGCAGTGAAATTGGTTGAGGTCTGGCGGACCGTCAAGGAAAGCTGCCGTCCGCCGATAAAGCAAAATTACTAGATACTTAACTTAACTCTGATACCAAAAGAATGAAAAGAATTATTTAGCTTACCCATGAATGATATAGAGGTCATGTATATGAAATATATTCATGGTACAATTTAAGAAATGATATAAATAAGAAGACGATATAAATAGAGAAACAATATTAAATCAGTGATTGATACAATCACAGATTATATACATAATACTAAAAATAAAATGTTTTTATATATTCTAATTTTTATATTCAACAGGAATGAAAGATTACGAACCTGTCATTTTCCTTATCCGTTGCCGTCCCTTGTTAATTGTCATAGTTATGAATACGTATGGGTTTAGTTTTAAATTATGCCTGGCTTATTTATAAGATTTTTTTTTTTAATTATTGTAAATTTGTTGTGCAATTGATTATAATATATTTTGATGATTGATTACGAGTTGAAATAATTAAGATTTTTGGTTTAATGGTTATGTAGTATCCGTTTATGGTGTAAGATTATTGATTTAATTTGTATATAGAAAAAAAATGATATTCTTTGTGATGTTTATTTTTCTTCAATTATAAGCATTGAATATAATTGTTTATTTGGTCCCAATTTTAGCTGATGGCGGCTGTTAGGCTCATGTGGTGACTACGAGACTTTGTGATAATTTTGGTTTACTCCTAAATTGGACTCAGATATGATTTTGTTGTGCTTTGTTATATATCGAGGTAATCTTATGTATGAGCATTTACGGTACTTTTTGTTTTGAACTAATTTATTTTCAAGTATGGCACAAAGGCATTATTGCGATTTTAATTTAAGAATTAAATTTATTTTTTAAATCAAATAATGTGACAATCAATTAGAATATTTAAAGTAATATTTTCTTTCATATTTTCTCTACATATTAACTAATCATTTTATTTACATATCATTTGGTTTAGAAAGTGAGTATAATAAGTAGGCTTGTGTATTATTTTTCTATATCTTATAAGCTATTGTAATTAAAATTCAAATGCATACATATATGGAGCTGGGGTTATGTTGTGAGTCCGTCAGAGTTTATTTCAAACTTATTTTAATGATCTAAATCAGTTTATTTGTAAGATTTTATGGATAAATTATTTATGAAAAAAATTTAGCAAATTGAATATTTGTAGCCCTATAACAAGACTATATTTTTTTTTGTACAAAAATAAATGGCTATCATAATTTTAAAAATGTTTTTAAGAACAATTAGAAGCCGATCATGGGGTTACAGATATCCGATAAACTTGATTTTTTACATGGATGATATATTCGACAAACTCAATAATACGATTTATTCGGATCATCAAAATAGGCTCGAAATAAACCATTCATGAGCATCACATGTTAGATAATGTCTCAATGGGACCACATAATTAAATGTGGTGTTATCATTTATAAGAAGCCTACAATTTAAGTGATTCAATTTAGTTAATAGGCTTAAGGGTATATATGTTATGGACCTAATGTGTAGATACTAGTTGTATAATTTCTATTTCTATGAGGGGCAGAAATAGAAATTAAAACATATTGGTTAAAGTTGGTTTTCATTCCTTTTGAACTTTCATAACCTTTCAGTTTTGAAAACCATAAATAGAAATTAAAACCAATAATGGTTAAAGTTGGTTTTCAAACCTTTTGAACTTCCACAACCTTTCAGTTATGAAAACCAATTACAACCTTTAAAAGGTTATGGTCCCTATTCCTTCCTAAGGTGAAAATAAGAACACTGCCATTTTTCTAAATCCTCTCAAGGAGAAATATAAGGCACCAAAGGGGAAAGGATTAGAAGGCAATAACATAGTCAATATCAAAGGTTTTATTGACAATCAGACGCTTCCGTTTAACCGTTCATCAATGGATTTAGGTATGTCATTTTGTCTTGATTTCTTGATAATACACATGGTAAATGATCCAAAGTGTAAGGTTTATGTTCTGAAATTTATGTTTACAAGTGGTATCAGAGCGGTTATATCATGTGTATTATCAGAATAGATATGCTTTTATTCATCCTATTTAGTTTCCTGGAATCAGATTCTGTTTTTTGTATTTCCGTTTTTCCTCTACTGCAAATTCTGTTTTGTTTTCTGGATATGGAACATAATTCGGATGGGCGGTTCATTTTTCAAATGGATGAACATCATGTATTTATATATATATAGATATATCTTGCGATTTGATCGGTTTAATTTTGAACATCATAAAAAAAAAAAAAAAAAAACTATTTGTTTTTTGGACCCGTCAATTCTATTTATATATGTATATATATAATTGGAATTGCTGCAGATTATATAACATATACGGGGTCACAAATTTAGAAATCTTTAAATTTAATGTAATTTCATACAACGTCTACAGAAATTTAATTTTCTAACATTCTCAATATATGTCAATTCAAACAAGATGTCACAAAAGTGATCTCTCTTGTCTTGATTGTTTTATATGGAATGTTTTGAAGTTCATGTCTGTGTATCTCATGCGGGTATTTATCAGTCCAAAGACATGATTAATACTTGGCAGAATTACACACACATTTTGTGGTGATAAACATGTGCCAATTGTCAAGAAAACCTAATGTGAATAATAAATCCATCAAAAGATAGATTTGTTATTTGACATAACTTATTGTCAATGTTTGATCATTACAACAAGAATACCACTTACAGTTAATATCACTACCCAAAGATCTTGAGATGTTGTCATTAAATTAATTTATTTAGAGATTATCTGTTTGGTAACTTAATGTGAAGATGAGGTAATTGTTCCTGAGGAACAAACTCTAATCTGTGCCATTAAGGCGATCCACTAGAGAAAGGAGATTTGCATTTTCAGATGATTATATTGTATATCTCCAGGAACATGAGGTAGAAAATGAAATGTCGAAAGATGATCCAATCAACTTTCGTCAAGCCATGGAAAGTTCCAACTCTCATAAGTGGAGAGTGGACAGATTTCCATAGAGCACATTGGGACAAACTCCATGATAGCAGATCCACTTACGAAGAAACTACCACCCAAGGTCTTTCATGAGCACACTGCTCAGATGGGTGTTGTTCTATTTGAGAACATTCTGGTTTAGTGGGAGTTTGTATCTATATTACTGCTTTATGTCAGCCTTGAGTTTTATCTACGTAATTAGATTAATTTCTGCAGAAATGAAATATTCAGTTTATTACGCTCTGTTACGTATTGTGAAGTATTGATCTCAATAAACAAGATCTCATTTTTCACTTCTTCCACCTACTCTACCATGTCCTTGGCTCGTCTTCAATCATGGAGAGCATGGACATTACTCCACTCAAACCTTCTTTAACACATCACAAGATACCTACGTCATGGGAAGAATACCAGAGTTGTGCGACAAAATGATTGTTACATGTTCTCACGGATGGCTAGTATTGCTTGATCTTGAATCCGATGATTGTTTCTTGTTGAATCCAGTTTCAATGGAGAAGATTATGCTTCCACCATTGCAATACTTTCCGTTCTTCTGTTGCATTCTATCATCACCCCCAACCGATCCCAACTGTGCACTCATTTTTGTCTGTCGAGAAAAACCAAGTGCCATGTTTTGTCACCTGGGTGATGATGAATGGACCGAACAACATTTAAGATCTGCTGAATATTTGTTAGATAATGTCTCAATGGGACTACATAATTAAATGTGGTGTTATCATTTTTAAGAAGCCTACAATTTAAGTGATTCAATTTAGTTAATAGGCTTAAGGGTATATGTGTTATGGACCTAATGTGTAGATACTAGTTGTATAATTTCTATTTCTATGAGGGGCAGAAATAGAAATTAAAACATATTGGTTAAAGTTGGTTTTCATTCCTTTTGAACTTCCATAACCTTTCAGTTTTGAAAACCAATAAATAGAAATTAAAACCAATAATGGTTAAAGTTTGTTTTCAAACCTTTTGAACTTCCACAACCTTTCAGTTATGAAAACCAATTACAACCTTTAAAAGGTTATGGTCCCTATTCCTTCCCAAGGTGAAAATAAGAACACTGCCATTTTTCTAAATCCTCTCAAGGAGAAACATAAGACACCAAAGGGGAAAGGATTAGAAGGCAATAACATAGTCAATATCAAAGATTTTATTGACAATCAGACGCTTCCATTTAACCGTTCATCAATGGATTCAGGTATGCCATTTTGTCTTGATTTCTTGATAATACACATGGTAAATGATCCAAAGTGTAAGGTTTATGTTCTGAAATTTATGTTTACAAGACAATTGTTGTTGCTATGACGTAGTGACATCAGCACCCTGTACCTTATATATACATATTTCAGTAGGTGTACGGGAAAGAAATACACCTTCTCGTATAATCCTGTTGACTAAGTCTGTGCTCCTCCGTACGACGTCGCTTTATCACCTGAAAATGCAAACGTGAGCTAACCGGCGGGTGTGTGCCGGAAACCCCTCCGATGCCTAAGTCAGCAAACTTGACAAATAGACAAAGCTCTGTGTATTCAGAAAGCAAAATTGTGTGTTACCTCCTCCAAGGTGATGTTTGTGAGCTTTTTATAAGTTTCGTGTGGCACAATCCTAGTAGGACTTTTATTCCTCCATACAGAGTCCTTCTAGGATTCATTCTCCTGAAAGATAATGCTTATCCTTCAACACCCCCCTCACTGCTTAACCCAAGTGAGATGATTTTTACTATGGCCGAACTACCACATGACCGAAATAATACTGGCTATGCCGAGCCACAGAGTAGGCCAAACTATCCTTAGTTCGGTTTTCTCCTTCCACTCCTTATCTCGGTTCTCTCCTGTTCAACCATGGTGTGTTTAGACCGAACAACCGAGTAGCAAGGTTTTGACCGTTCTAACCATACTACGTCGTGACCGGACTAACTCTGAGACCGGCCTAACTCCAAGTTGCCTCCGGACCGGAGTAACTTTACATCATCTTGGACCGAAGTAACTTTATCTCTTTTTGGGCCGGAGTAACATTACGGCCTTTTTACCCAGTCCTTCGTTGGGCCACAAAGTCATCTCACAGCTCGGCCCAATTTTCATCAAAAATTACCCTCTCAATTGCCCCTTAATTCCATCTGCACAGCATGATTTGGGATTACCAGTCTACCAACCGAGCTGAAGTTTTAAAACCTTTCCAACCGAGCTAAAACCCTTTAGCCTCTCCAGCCGAACTAAAAACTCTTAGGCCTTCCAGCCGAGCTACTATCACTCCGGGCTCTGTTTGTCCGGTCAAAACGTCTCTTCAATCACAGCGTCTGTAACGCTTCCCTTTCCAATGACACGTGGCGGGCTCTAATAGGCTGGGGGCAGCTGTCACGCCGCCCTCGTACTACGAAATTTTTGAACAGTCCCGCCCTTTTTGCCTTTCATCCTTTACACAAAACAACCCTTTCATTTTTGAATCATTTACTTTACTCCTTACTTCTTCTCTCCCTTGTTCCTGAGCCCTGAGTTTGAGCTTGCTGTGTTCGTGCCCTTCATTGCTGCCATTGCTTCCATCTTCTAGCGTCTTCCTTTTTACTCTGGTAAGCAAATCTAACCTTCTTGCTTTGTTTGTTTTCGTATTTTGCTTTCCATGTTTTTGCGAAACATATTAGTCTATTTTCTGCTTTGCTTCTGTACTTTACTGGAAAAACTTCACTGAACTCGTGCGTGTATGTAATATCCTGTAGAAGACCAGTCTTTGATCCAAAAACTTGTCCCAACCGAACTAGGATACTGTTTTGTGCTATATAGGTAGATCAATACAGAAAATAACCGAACTAGAACTTGTAGAAATAACAGCAGCTTCAAAAAATAACCAACTTCCGATTCACTTTAGCCGAAATAAGATCACCGAACGAAGTTTGAACATATTAAACTAGGAACCTCGATCTTCAACCGAGCTAAGCCTTTGGGGCTAAGCCAGCTTTCTTAGTTTCTAAACCAAACTCAGAAAGCTGCCCCTAGAGGCTCAACCAAAGTAACAAAACTCATAGTTCAATCGATTTAGGCCTTTGGGGCTAAGCCAGCTTTCTTAGTTTTTTAGACCGAACTCAGAAAGCTGCCCCTAGACGATGAACCGGTCTAACAAAAATCGTTTCCAAAGCAAGTATGCTGAGATGCTTGCCATGGTCTGGCTAATAAAAACCCTGCTCAAACCGAGCTACCAAGCATTTTTGCCGAACCGAGATAGAACCTGTCCCCAAAACCGAAGTAGGGCTCTTTTACCTCGCTTTTAATTTGTAGCATGGTCCAATGATCTGTGCTTAACCCCTCTGTTTTCTACTTTGCAGACTTAGGTTGCCCAGGCACTCCTGCGTGCGCTCAACCGAGCTACTGAGCACAATTTTTGCACCGATATAACTTATTTATAAATTATACAACAAATGGGTAAGTATAGATATCTAGTAAATACTCCAGGCGGCTTAGCCGAATTCAGGAAGGACTACAATATACCCGATGATGTCCATTTGATCTTAGCCGAAAAAGACGTCGTTCCCTAGGACAATGAAGGCTTTGTCTCCTTTACCCTGTTGTCAATTATAGAAACCGAACTGCGATTTCCTGTCCAACCTTTAATCTGTGAGTTTCTTAGGCAGACTAGATTATGCCCTACCCAACTATCCACCAATTCAAACCGCATCATTATGGGAATAGCCGAACTGAATCGTCAAGCCGGACTAAACCTTGGCCTGGCCGAAATCTTCCACCAATACTCCATTGGTTCAAAGGAAGATGGATGGGTCTATTACTTGAGAATACGTCGTCGCCGAGAGAAAATAATAAAACATACACCGGATAAGGACTTGAACGACGACGACTTTTTCTGGGTATCTGGGAATTTCGAAGATCTACAAGCCCGGATTCCTGGCCGACGTATAAATTGGAAGAAAGGAGAGCCCATTATATTTACTTCGGTTTTCTTGCTTGCTTTTTGTATTTCGGTTTTTACATCTATCAGCCGAACTAACAGTTGTCTTCTTTCGTAGATTCTGCACACCTCCATTCCTTATACAGCTATCCAAACCTAGCAACTTTGTGTGCCACACTACGGTATCCAGAACGTAGTTGGGCTAAGTTGTTGAAGTTCGAGCCGACCTACAGATACAGCGGTCGCCGAAAGGCAAGAGTGACCGACTTTTTTCTTGAAGAGGCCCCAGAACCGGACCCATCCTTGCCCGAGATTAGACTGATCCCACTAACAGCTAAAGAGGAGATGGCAAAAAAGAACAGAGTCAGGGCGCTTTTAACCGAGACAACCAGGCCCAAAGTATCGCCACCAATCCAATCGCAACCTGCTGTTGTGGCCCTCCCTTCTCAACAGCCGTCCTCTTCCTGCCGAACCAAGCGTGCCCGGACTGCCGAAACCGAACAAAGTTTGGTTGATGAAGAAGAACCTGCTCTTCTACCGAGCCTACCACCGAGCCCCCAACCGGAGCCTTCTGACCGAACTATCGGTAGCTGGGCACCGAAACTTACTTTTAACAACCGAGACATCCAAGACTCAGACTCTGTTGTTGCTGAGAAAGACCACCAGTTGGCCTTCAACCTGGCCAAAAGTGTGTGCCTCCCCAAAGATATGGAGCACCACCAAAAGCAACTGAACACTGAACTGAAGGCCATCCGGTCTTCAACCAAATCCATGATCTTGGTAAGTAGTTCTGTCTTGTTTTGCTATCTAATTTTTTCAACTTTCACTTCGGCTGAAGGGAAATCTTTGTTTCGTCAGGCCTTAGAGAAAAACAACATCACTTACAAAAAAGTGCTAGAGCTCAGGAAAACAACGAGGCAAGCAGTGGCGGAAGCCGAAGTAAAGGTGGCCGAGCTAGAAGAAGCCAGAAAGCAAATGGCCGAGCTACAAGCTGAGAACGGCCGACTTGCCGGACTAGTTAGTTCGGCCGAAGCAGAAAAGCAGAAAGCCGCCATCGCTATGAAAGACAAGTATCTGCGCGAGTTGGTGAAGCTTGAAAAGAAAAAAGATACCGAAATAACCCAACTGAAGGAGAGCGCAAAGGGAGCCGAAAAGCAAAGCTATAAGAAGGCAGAGGATGCTTATGTCAAGCAGTGCGAAGCTGCCAAGGAGTTATTCTTCAAGTGCGGCTGGAGGGCAGCTGTTGAGAAGCTCGGTCACGATCCACAGACCGAGGTTTTCAACCCTCCAGCCTACTTCATACCGAACTCCCTTATGGAGCATGCTAATGCCATGCAACAGCAATTCCTTGAAAGCTCAGATTCTGATGAAGACTCTGCTTCTGAGGATACTCTGGTTGTCAGTGCGGCTCAGTCAGTTCGGTTGGAGCCCACGGTGGAGGACCTGACTATTGAACTTCCAGGTGAAACCGTGGTTCCGACCGAAACCACCATTGCGATCGTGAACGAGCTCCCATCTGAGACCGGTCTTCGAGTTGATGCCGATGCAGCTTGTGATGCCGAAATCGATGATCTTTTTAACTGATTCTTTTTTCTTTTCTTTTTTGTTGCTTTTTTACTCTTGTAACTGGGCTGCGGCCCCTCCTTTGTAATTGCCTTTTAATGAATGAAAATTTTGCTTGAACTCTTATTCCGGTTTTGATTTTGTATGTTTGCACTTGAT